AAACAACTTTGAATCCTTTCAGAGCTTATGTAGTCAAGTTAATAATTGATAGGCAGGATAAAAGTTGTTTAAAAACAAATAATGTATTTAAGAATATAATTTCTTACATTTCTCCCTTCTAGGAAGTATGATAAAGATTTAACAATAAATACACGGTGGGCAGGGGGTTCCTGTTTGTTGAGGTATCTGTTAATAAAGGTCTAATAAAAGGAAAGCTTCATATTCTGATTTTGAATGGGGATTTATATAGCTTTTTATATAGCTTAGAGAACTAATGTATAGGCAGTGGAAGACATAATGTTAAAGGCAGGTATAGGGTTTACATCTCAGTAAAGGGCTTATTTTGTTCCTCAGCTCCACCTGAGTATTTATGGGGATGGTCCCAATAAACCAATTCACCTAACCATGAGCAGAAGTTGGTAGGTTGTGTAATCTTAACCTGAGGAAAAATTATGATGAAATTTTCATTTTGCGCTTTAATTATCCCACTTTTACAATAATCCTTTCTGATATTTTTAGCTAGTGCTTCTGCACACTTCCATATTTACAGGGTTAAACAGGGTTATGGTAAGACATGAATACAGCACTATAGAAACTGCAATGTTGTTGAAAAAAATGTGCCATGAATCATTTTTTACCAACATTTTTTTTCTTTAAGCCGCCCCCAACACCCACACAGACATATACCAAGTTAACACAAACCTCTGCATACACTTTGACTCAAAGGAACACTGTATGGTTTCAATTTTTTAATGTCTACAGCATTTAAAATATTAAAAAAATCTTTTATATTCTCTTTGTTTCAATTAGCCCCTTTACTTTGACTACCTTATGCCTAAACAACACCCTTAAAATGTCTCATAAGCCAAATGTGATAGATATCTTGTATGATATAGATTAAAATACAACATATAGTGATGTTTTTGATACATGAAACATTTAAATGTGCATTTGCCTGGTCGTCTGTGTTGGTCCAGGGTGTATTTTTGCAGCTTCCGCCTCCTTAAACAAGATAACATGATTCACAGAAAAATAGCTGGAGGGAAGGTAGCAAATTTATTCAAGGACAGTAAGAAAAGAGTATATTCTACCATCCATCTGCACAAATATGGAATAGTAATGATCATTTCATAAAAGCTATTGAATGGTTACATTTTTAATTACGATGTTGGTTGATGCAATCTTCAACCATAGCTAGTAACTGTAGCAACTTTCTTAATCATTTTGCAAATTACTTTGGCCAAGAATCAAACCGGAACATTTTGCTGATGAAGATTCTCAGTCATTCAGGTCATAGTCATTCCGTAAAAGTTTAAAAAAATAATCCACTGGACTTGGTTTCCAAGATTTGAAGACGTTTCACTTCCCCTCAAGGAAGCTTTCTCAATTCAAATGTATGAGATTTGACCTGACCTGAAAATTTTATTTACAGTTTAATGTAAGATTCCATCCCAACTCTAGAATCTAACTGCTTGTGGTGTCCAGCACAGACCACTTATGTTTATATGGATTACATTAGGATTGATTGTATTGCTCAGATATAAAAAGATGTGCACTGAAGTGAAGAGATTAACACATACTGTTTTATCATCATGGCTGCTGAGTTACTGAGCGGGATTTATAAAAGAGCACTTGTTTTATTTATTTTTTTGTCCTTACAGTGCTAGTGTCGGGCAAACTGGGCAAGCATGATGTATTTGGTCAATTTGACAAGGGCAAAATTTGGATACCTAGACAGTAAAGTCAGAACCCTTGCAAAACTGCAGATGTTCTTGGGCTCCACAAGTCTACAGCAAGATTGCATAGGATCTTAGGTGGAGTTTGTTCAGTGATGAGGCTGGGGATCTTAATGCTGGACTCACATCGACTATTGTTTGGCTGTGGTGCAGGCTGGGTAAGAAACTGCAAGAATAAAATCAGTGTGAACTCTCACATTAGCCATGTTGCAGCGTGAGTGTTGTTACTGAGGTTTTGCTGCTCAGTGGAACAGTTCTTGGAGTGAACCACCTACTTATTTTGGCTTGTCAAGTATAAACGGCATAGCAAAACAGTAGTACAAAAACAGAGGGGCTGTTGGAGGATAAAATATATTGATGAGAACAGATAACAAACTCTCAGAAACAACATGAACCTATGTGAACTTCGGTTCTCACAAGCTCTGTTTCCTGAGCCGATGCACAGTACCAGGACCACTCCAGGACAATAGATAGTGTGAGCCCTGCGTAACCTCTGTTGCTATGCATACTTGTATGTGTAAATGATTCATATTCTTATTGAGTTTTTATTTGCCCAACTATTTTGTGTTTTGCTTTGCTTTTCTTCTTGTCTTGTTGCACACATCATGACGCTAACCTGGAGCTTTTCTGGACAACTTTATTTCGATTTTCAGTTTATACGGCATCTGAGCTTATTGTGCATTCAAAAAACAAGCTGGTAGCTTAGCTAACTCAACTTTGTCGCCTCCTATTGAACTGTCTAAACTTCCCAATAAGCTAAGGAGGGAAAGGCATGGGACATGAGCTGTGAAAAGGTGTCGAAACTGGAAAAGAGGACAAAAACCCTATTATCCCGTCTGTTAACACTGAAAATATATATCTTACCTCAAAGACTCGTAGTGTGAGCCTGCCTTTAACTGAGTAATATAACTAATTCTTCTTTCATGTTTTTTTTACCTTGTTTTTCATCATGACAAGCTACTACAACTTGGTTAGTAAAAGCGACAGATTCACTGCTTGCATGGAAGGACTGTTTTGTGTTTTGTCCAGAGACGGAGCAAATGCTACAAGATGCACATTGGCTGAGGAGCCGTAATGTTGACAGGTGCTTAGCATGCATTAATTGGTTACCCAGGCTGAAATTAGAGGTGCAAGGCAATGTCAGAGAGCCATCCAGATTTAGTGATAGCACTGCTAAACTAAAAGCTTTTGCTTTTTAACATTTTATATTTAATAACTGAACTACCAGGTTTGTTTGAAGGTCTAGTCATAGAAAAGGTTTCCAAATTCATCGACATTTTAGATCCTAAACAGTAACTGCCAAGTTCTTGGGAGAATTAAAAGGCAACTATGACAAGTTACTGTTTTGAGTAACATGCCCCACAATTCCTTTGTCAACGGGCTTTAATAATATCTCCTGTCCTAAACTGTCTTTAGGATATGTCTTTCAGAAAATCATTAACAGCATTAAGGGCAATAAATCACTTGACTCATTACAGACCAATTGCAAGCCATAGAGCACACAACCTCTCCCACCTCTGGTGACCTCAGATCATAACTTGGTTCACATCCAACCATTTCATAAACCCAGACATAGACAAAGATGTAAGTGTAACATACACAGTGAGGGGTTGTCTGAGGAGACCAGAGAAGCTCTGAAGGACAGTTCTACTTCCATTGTGTGGAAGAGTTATGTTCTCCTCATTGTCAAGACATTAAAGTATTACAGATTGCATCCAAAGCTACATCAACTTCTTTGAAGACAGCATCCCTCAAAAAGGCAATGTTTATATTCCACAATAAGCCATAGATCAACCCTGAAATAAAGGCTCTACACACTTTGTAGCCATTAGAAAGGAAACAACGATGATCTTAGAGCTGTGCAAAAAACTAAGAAAAATATTGAGGAGAGAAAAGAACAGCAACAAAACAATCCAGGTCAAAAACCAAACTTTCAGGCTATATAATACTTAGACTGACAAAATCACCTGAATCAGTTCTTTCTAAGATATAATGCACATCGATCATATGGTTTAGTGTCTCTAACATACTGATCTGCAGCAGGTGGGCTCCACTATGAACTAAGCTGGCATAATTCCTGTTCATCCTCTACACAGCAGACTTCAATCAATTCCCCTGGCTGCGACCTTTAGACGTTATGTGATTACTTTGCTATAATCAGTCTCATCACAGTTGAGGATGTATAAGAGTAAAAAGGGTGGACACAGGACTTTGTGGACCGGTGTGAGTGGAATCACCTCTTGAGATGGTGGTGGATTTCTGCAGGCTTAGACCCACCACTCTGACACCGATGAAAATCCAGGGAACCAATGTTGAGATGTTGGACTCATAGAAAAACCCGAGTAATCCCATCAATGCAGAACTGGACTGGAATTCCAACACTGAAGCTCTTAACGAGAAAGGTTGAAGCAGTCTAAGGAGAATAAGATCTTTTGGAGTTAAGGATGTGCTCCTGAAAACCTTTTTTTTTACTTTGTGTTGGTATCAGCCATTCTCTATGGTACAGTTTGTTGGATCAGCAGTTTATCTATAACAGAAAAGAGAAAGAAACTCATTCGGAGGGCCAGTTCTGTTCTTGGATGCCCCACAAACACTGTGCAGTTTGTGGTAGACAGATGGAGTTGGGCAAAATGACATCCCTCCTGGACAGTGTCCCCATGCATGAAGTGCAGTGAACAACCGCTGGTTCCTAGGTATTTAAGAGCCTTATCTCAGATCCTTTCCCCAACTAGCTGTTAGACTTTATAACCATTAATTCTCCAAGCAAGTTATTTAAGTTTGTTTACATCTGCCCTGCTATTTTTCATGTCTTTTTTCTCAGTGAGTTTTTATATCCATAATCAGTTGTGCACAGCATTTAATCTATTTTTGCAAAATGTTTGCTGTTCTTTTTCTCAAGGATGTCCAGAGAGGCACGTTTTGTGGATTTGTTGTGACGCTCATTTGATTTAAACTGAGAATGCAAGGATTACCAGGAAGATGCCATTATGGAAAGCTCCCAATTGTTTCTGTTTTTATCTGTATTTATATAATCAAGAAACAATAAGGAGATGGATAAAATCAATAAGAGTAAAAAGAGAGATTTTTACCCACTATCTCTCTCCCCTTAGCTGGTGCTCACAGGAGTTCATCGCTTTGCTTTAAGAAAGGGCTTAAAATGCAGGCAGCTTAAGAAAAAACATAAAAAAGAGGGAGGAGGGGGTAAAAGCCTGACAGATGAGTGGAGTGAAGCACAGCACAGAGGGAGTGGCTCAAAAACGGCTGGAGCAAGCTCTTTGGTGAGGGGGGGGAGTAGAAAATTCAAGAGAGTCTGCTTAAACCACAAACCAGAGACAGAAGTGAAAGCTTCTGAGGAGACGAGAGAGTTGGGTAGAAGCCCTGAGAGAGAGAAGACCTGTGGAGGAAGGAGACAGGCTGAAAAATTGAGTGGACTGGTAACTCTCAGGGGGCTGTTTGATCAAGCCGTTTCACCTGTGGCAACATGGGAGCAGTAGTGGGCACTTTGACCATGCAAACCAAACAGAGGAGACCATCAAGAGGTATGTCAAGACTTATAAGAAAGAGATAGAGGAAAGATAAAAGCTTCTGAAAGCATTGAACAATATGAACTAGTCATTTGAACATATTGATCTGATTTTAATTGTGAAAAGGATGGGCATGTTTATCAAACAGCAGAAGTGCTTATCAATATTTCTTTAGTAATTTTAAACAGTTGCATTTGTCATTGTTTTACAAAGAAAAGCATGAAGAAAAAGGTGAAAAAAATGTTTTTGAAAGAGGCAGGTGTAGTCACAGAGCAACACTGGCTGCAGATGTGTTATGATCGAAGTGATTGAAGTCTTCGCCTGATGTATGAGTTGTGATAATGATGGTGGAAATGAGAGTACAGGATGCCAAGATGTCCTTGACAATCACAACACACTCCCCCCCGACTCTGTGATTCTGCGTGTGTTCCCGCCAGTCAAACGTGTCAGTGAGTGTGTGCGAGTGAAAGAGAAACATGCAGCGAAGCAAATGAAAGTTCAGGCTCGTGAATTAACAGGCAGCTCACATATCATACCTCTCCCTGGCCTTATGCTTGAGAAACTCGTTGTCATGGAGACTGGGTTGTAAAAAGGCACAAAGGAGAGTGCAAACACACAAGCTTCACTGACAATGATGTTCAGTGCAAAGATCAGGGTTAGAATAAGTAAGATTAAAAGGGCATTTAGAGCAACAACGAATATAAGACCTCACATGAAGATTATTTTTTGTTGTTGTTGTCATTCTTCTAGTTTCTAGGTCATCTATTTTTTCTTTTTATTTCTCCGAATAAAGTAGTCAGTTATAAAAACTGTGTCGAGATTTATTAGATATTAGACAGATAAGACCTCAATCCCGGGAGGAATAAAATGTCACAGGAAACTGAGCACAGACCGGTGTTTATCTCTCTTGGAATGAATAAAGCAAGTCTGCATTAAGTCCAACTGGTGGTTACATCTGTGGTATTATGTCTGCCAGAAATAAGAACACAAGTTTAAAAAAAAAACGTTAGAATTAACTGGGAAGATATTTAGGGACAGAAATGCTGACACAGTTCTGACTAAATACATTATCAGGATTAAAATACTTTTTTCTATTTATTTATTTATTTTTTTTTTTTTCAATTTTAATCTAGCCGGTAAATTTACTATCTTAATTTTTGTTTTCATGACTTAAGTAAGTAGATATTCAAAATGAGTATATAAACTCATGAGGTACAAATTTAAATGCTGATGTTACCAGTGTGAAGGAGAAAGTCAGGAGAAAAATGTATTAAATAATAATATCTAAAATAGTCAATAGATGTTGCAAATGACAGATTACTAACAATAAAAAAAAATAATAATAATTAGTTACTGTTAGTCATAATTTAGTCTGGCTGCACCTATAAAAAATATGTGGTGCTATTTCTCCTCAACTTTGAGCACTTTCCTTTTAATAATCGTATAGCAAATAATCTTGTTAAAGAGTTGTTAAAATGTGGCCTCCTCATCTGCTTAAATCAACGAAGCTGAAACACATTTTGGTATCATTCCGTATCATTCTTACCGTATATTTTTTGCATATCATCAATAAATGGCCACACACACCTTTAATATATTTCTGTTTAAAATTAGAAGGTTTCTGGAGTCATCAAAACACTGCACTTTTTGATAAGTGTATGTTTGTATGTTTAAGACTAACGTTGCATGCCTTAAATCATCATCAATCTGAGGAATTAAATCTGATTTTGAGGTTTTAACTTTTGCGATTACTTATTAGTCTTTAAGAAACGAATGAGAAGGTTTTGTGGGATTGGTTTATATATTAGACTTTTATAATCTTTAGGTTTTCTGGTTCTAAAATACGATTAACTTTGCCAATCTAAGAACTGTCTGGTACAAAATAGAAATAAACTAGAAATGTATTAGAAAGCAACTTGGAAAAACACAGTAACCAGGTCAACTTACTTTCCAGCTTTGTTTATAACAAAGTCCTCCTAATAAAACAACAAAAAATATATAATGAATTAATTAATTAATTGCATAATTTATTGTCACCATGCACATGTACAGTGAGATCATTGATCTTTCACAATTAAACATCAGAAGTGGCTTCTCAGTGCAGCTGAGTTTTCTAGAAACTGGACCCTCTTGGATCATTTTGACATTTTTGAAACTGGATTTGGTTTAAAACAGTAGAGACATTAACTGTAAACAGAAGGTAGTTCTTTCTAAAGTATAGTAAAACTTTCAAATTGAATTATGCTATCTATCTATCTATCTATCTATCTATCTATCTATCTATCTATCTATCTATCTATCTATCTATCTATCTATCTATCTATATAATCAGTCAGACTTCTGCGCCTGTTGACAGGCATGTTGGTTTACTGCTCATGAGCAAGGTACTTACATTTTTCTGGGGTTTGTTTTTTTAACGTACTTTTATAGGCAAAAACTCAGAATTATTATTTTATTGAATAATCATTTAGTAATTTTTTGATTTATTTTCAGATTTTACCAGTGTGTGTGTGTGTATTAACCATTTTCTTAAATGGGAGGGTATATAAACTTTCAAGCACATCTGTATATGTTTGCACAAATACACACCAAACCAGAATATTATTGTAAAAGTCTGTTTTTTTTTTGCCTTCTATTTTATTTCTCTGTAATCTCCCCAAGATTTATAACCATTAATAATTTTGACCTGGAAAACCTGACAGGTAGTACTATTCTTTTTTTGGAAGAATGGACAAAAGGCCAGACAAGACATTCAGATTTCACAAAAATCTTGATCTATGGAGGCGTACATATTCAGAATAAAACACCAAAAAGTGCATTAAAGTTTAAAGTCATTTAAGGTTAAGACAAAGATTGCTCTTTCAATTCCCCACTTAATCGCTGCATATTGTTAAGCTTCCACTCGTGTTTTTTTGCTTGAGCCACAGTATCTGAAATATTAATAAACTGTAGCTGAATTTAAAATTGATGTCATCAAGTCTGTGTGGCAAACATGTCCACAGTGATTTTCAACCTGAAAGCGATGTTCAGTATGGTTAGTGAGGAACCAAATAAAAGCATTAACCCTTCAGAAGTGGCAATTAACAGTACATTGGGCTTACAGAAGAGCAGTATCAAAAAAACATATAAAAGAAAGACACAATAAAACCCAAAGGTATATTTTCAGACTGTTCTCTCACCTTTCTCTGTAACTGCAGCTCAAGCTGTTATTGAAATTATTTGTTGATTAAGTCATGATGGTTGTGACAGTTTATTCTGGCGAGCTGTCCAAAAGAGGGCTTCATGTTGGAATAGAGGCTCAGGCCGTTTTAAAATGAAGTCAATGCGCGATTGTGATTTAAAGCAGGAAAGCTAAAGTCAATAACTTGGATGCTGGACAAAAAAAAGGTGTGTTTTTGTAGCACATCCACTGCTCATGCCACCTGTCTCTACACGTATTTTACTTTGAAGGTGTTTAGTGTCTCATTTTCTGTCTGTTTTGTTCAGTCAAGCAATTATAACATAATAGCTATTTGGTTGAAGTATTGATAGATAGCTTAGGGTTAGTTAAAAATGGCTAGCTTTGAAAAATGACACTCTTGTCATATATAATTAAATGCATACCGTACATAGTTTTTTGCTTTATTGTATATTAAAAAATAGATGAATTTGGTGAACAACTGGATATAAATAGATATAATTCACTCTTGCAAACATAGCTTAGAAAGCCTTGTTTTTACAGTATTCCTTTGTCCTATTTTCATCTTTTCTGATAATGTTTGAAGTGGTGTCAGTTTGTTGAGTGCCTATTTTTTATATGATATTCATACCTTTCCCTGCACTCCTAGATTGCTCCCTTGCAATCTTAGACTTGGACAACTTTTATTGTCATTTTGTATACATACGGTGTGTACAAAACAACATTTTGTTTTCTAGAGCTTTCATGTCATTTCCATTTCTTAAAGTGCAGCAGAGATCAAATGTAAACAGTGTGGTGCAAAAAAACGCAAAAATTTACAAATTTAGAATCAATTTTAATTATCAAGTTGATAAATATAAAAACGAAGACATTTTGAAAACAAATGAGGCAAAAAAAAGGAGTAGAACTCCTTTTTTGAAAAAAAAAAATAAGTATACATAGATGTTGCCATGAAAACAGAAGGCATGTTTGAACTGGTTCAAATAAGCATGGTTTTAATGTCGGCACTCTGCTCTTAAGTCTTCATCACAGCGACAGCCTGTGGCAAGAAACTGTCTCTGTGGCAGTCAGATTCATAAATGCCACTTTTTCAGGCAACCTTGAAGGTAAAAGTCTGAACAAAAAAAAGCCTTCATGAAGCTTGTACATCAGTTTTTACACATTTCTCTAAAGGAGACAGACAGATTTCTGAGGCTTTCAGAACCATGGTTTAAAACAAATAAACCCTTCAGAATACATTTAGGATTTTTTTTTGTTCATATCAAAAAGGCTAAATGGTTTTATTGTGATTTTCCTCTTCATCAAATAAACATGCTGTATTTCTATAATCTATAAAACAACATCCTTTATTTTTAGTTGTCAGCTAAAGGCACATCTTAGAGTCTCTATAATCCAGTTAACGATTAATCAATTCATAAATTAGTGGACGATTTTTTAAATTGTTGATTAATCACGATTAATTCGATTAATTGTTTCAGGCCGGGTTAAAGCAGAGCATCACCTTGGTAACAAGTGCCCATAATGATTTTATAGAGACAGAAATAACTAGATTCTTCAAGTGTTGGTTAGGGGGAAGCAAACAATCTTTTCTGTTAGCCCAAATGTATTTATTGCCATTTAACTTAAATATATATCTTCTATCTGGAAGCAGTAGTTAAATATTTTGGCGACCCATCCACCCAGCGCTAACTGAATCTGATAAAGGATCCATTTAAGGGCTGGCAGACTAGGCCATGGAACTCATCACAAAATGTTTTAAAGAAATTTCAATCAAAATACCATAGGAAAACTACAAAAAGTTAATCAAGTATTGCAAGAAGGGGTTGATTGTTGTTATGCTAAATCTTTTTCTGATCATTATTGAAGAATCTTTATTTTATTATTTGTTTATTATTTATTTTATTCATTTATTTATTTACGTATTTTATAATTCCTTTTATTTTCCTGAGTTGACCTTTTTCGACTGTTTAATTGAATTTGCAAAATCTATTCCTCATTTACTATCAGAAACAACTCTACTGGTGGGATTACTTTATGTCCTGCATTGTTACTTAGAAACAACTGTGCTGGATGCACACTAAAATAGCTTTATTTGTATCTTCTTATTTGGTGTTAAAAAAAAGAATAATTATTTTGTTTAAAAAAATTTCAAATCCTTTTTTCATTTATTGTTATATGTTTGCCTGATTATGTAATGCATTACCTCTGAAATAGACATGATGACAAAACCTGGAAAGTGTTTGCACGGTTCTGAAAAAATGCGCTACCATTGGGAAATCTGAGCAAAGCTTGTCATTAACACCATGACAGAATTGATATCCATCTCTAATTATCCCTATCCTGCAACCATAGAGCGCTTCCTTCCATTTTATGTTGTCAAGTAGCGGTTAAGAAAATAAATAAAGACTAATAACGAAATTCAGTTCCGTTAAATGAACACAGTTTATGCTTAGTTTCAATATAATCAATATTTTTATAAGGGCATGATGATGACCTCAATATTTGGCAAGGGTTTAAAATGCCTTCCTTTGATAAACCTTTTACTTGTATCTACCCCTCTGCGTTTCGTGTTTTGCTGTGTCCTCTCTGTCTCCTCATCTTTTATCAAACCCCCCCTCACCCGCCTGTCTCCTTCCCCATTGCAGTAATTCAGCTGCCCTCTAATCAACACCCCGACCTGTTTCCTTTTCACACCCCCGTTGCATTTCATCTTTCTCAAGTGCCATAAACCAAAGCCCCCCTGACTCATAGCTCATAGGTGCATTAACACCCTTGTTGTTTTGTTGGATTGTCATATAATGCAATCTCCATGACAACAAGAAGATCTAGAATAGCTAAAGATATGGAGAACATGAAGGTCGTTCGATGAGTAAAGTAGTTTTTTTTATTCCCAGCATCATAATTTTGTTTCCAATATCTTTTTTTTTTCTTTAAAGCACATATATTTGGTTGATGAATAAAAAAGAAATCACAAATTAAAAGTGATGGCTTTCTTTTTATAGACTCTTTCCCCCTTTGTTATTATTGTCTAATAATTGCTAATACTTTATACAATCCTTGTTTTCCCCTAACAGAGCTTTTAGTTTTTTTCTGTAACATTTAACAAACATGCAGCATACAAACATCACTTATAGTCAGAGTTCTTCTTTATTTTTCATCCTCTCCTCTCTTTTCGGGTTAACTAAAATGATAATGGAAGAAGTACTGACTTTGTGTCCTTCAAATTAATGTTATGTATTTGGCCAGTTGATTTGCTTCAATGCACAATGATTTTAGTTTGAGATGCTATGTTTTGTGTTTCTCACTACTAACCAACTTAAAATCCCCCACATACATCTGCCTTTATTTTTATGTTACACAATGTAATTTATAGAGAATACCTTGGAGGCTGCATTGTCTTAAACAGGAGATTTTAGTGTGAAGTGGATTTTTCCACAGGTTACTCCAGCTACTTCCCACAAACCATAAATATGCCTGGTTTCCTCATATTGGATGGATGGATTTACAATAGACTGATCTTAGTTGATTAAAAGCCTTGCCTAATTTTAGATCGGATGTACTGAGGGTGTGACATATAAAACATTATTAGAGTATTTTATCTAAGTTTAAGGACATCCAACGTTTGGGTTTTGGGTGTAAAAATAATCCTTTGAAAACTGTCAACATTTAACATCCTTGCTATTTTCTCAACTGATCTGCTTCTGTGTTTGTGAATTCATCTGAGATCCCGATTGTGCTCATCCCTGGATGTTTGGCTGTGAGTGCTGACCTCTATCCAGAGAAGGCGACAGTGACAAACAGGACCCCACTGCACCGGCCTCTCCTCACATCATTACCCACCATCCATCTCCAGCACACCCGATACTGAGCACCATGTTCCCATTAATAAAGCGCTTCAGCTCCTGTGGGGGCAATCTGATTTCTCATGTGCAAGCAGCTCATGTTAAATCCTTTTTCTTCCCTTTGTCTTCATCTTTGTTGCTTTACTTCTCATTTGTTTTCCTCCACCACCATTAGCACAGTTTTTGCAGCTTCATCAAATTTCTGAAGCTTTCTGCCAACAGCACATTTTAAAGCTTTGCAAGTTATTTTTGTGTTTGTGTTTTCTTTCACTTTGCTGCAGATAATGCCGATGATGAGCTTGAGATGACAACGGTGTGTCACAGGCCAGAGGGTCTTGAGCAATTGGAAGCCCAAACTAACTTCACCAAGCAGGAGCTGCAGATTCTCTATCGTGGCTTCAAGAATGTATTTGCACATTATCACTTGTTCTCCCACATCACCGCTGTACTCCATAATGTATTCTTCCAGCAAAAAGCAGATTAACATTATTGAATGTTATTTTTCCCAAAGGAATGCCCCAGCGGAGTCGTAAATGAGGAGACTTTCAAGCACATTTATGCACAGTTTTTCCCTCATGGAGGTAAAAAGTTGCTGTTTTCTGTTTTTTGTCCTGCTTTTAATGTACTGGGGGCTTTATGCATTGACATTGTTGTTGTTGCAGATGCAAGCATGTACGCACATTATCTTTTCAACGCTTTCGACACGACAAACAATGGATCCATTAAGTTTAAGGTAAAATCTGAACTGCAAGCACTTATAATATGGCCTATTTAGTAAGTTCATTGCTACACGTGTTTATACAGAAACAGTTCCTTCGCCGGTGAAATCTGCTTATCTCTCTTTCACCATGCAGAACCCACCAATTCTTTTCTTGCTAGTTGAATGGTTGAGTTGATTTTTTTTTTTTTTTTTTTTTTACTTCTGATTAGGTATTTAGAAAAATCTTATTAGGTCTCAATAAAAAAACCTTTGGTACCCATGTAAAGGTAGCATATAGGCATTTTTTGTTTGTTTAAAGGAGCGGTATGCACATTTTTACCACTTGGTGCGCTGTTGAGCTTCATCTGTAGACCAAAGCAATGGTATGTTCTCATACAACTTTCTGTCATGCTAAATAACATGATGCAATAGGTAATTTGGTTATGCTAATTAAAATTTCAGTTACTATTAGTATGAATGAAGAAACTATTGATTTCTCCTGTATAATTCAGACTGACAACCATTTCTTTTGCTTGTCAAATACCCCGATAATCCCTTTATTGCATTGCATTGTTTTTTTTGTATG